TGTTAAATATTATATTATTGTGATTATTTGTGATTTTGTTTACTTTCAGTGAACACAAATTAGTTCCCTCAGTACTCGTCACTATCACTCCCATTACGGAAGCCGTCAAATATCAGTACGCCACACAAGGCTGAGGGTACATCCATAATCTTTTAATTAGTATATATATTATATACACATGTAATAAAAGTTTTCTGTTTAAAAGTTAATAAAAATTTCCTATTTAAAAGTTTGTAAAAATAAGATTAAAACATTTTTCTGATATTTATAATTTCACTTATTTTTAGTTTCTATATTTTAAGATATAACTTTTTAGTTCATATATTTATTTTTTCAATTTTTTAGTTCTTATAATTTAAGATATATCATTTTAATTCATATATTTATAATTTTTTTAATCTTTTAGTCTTTATTATTAATTTTTTTTAATTTTATCTCTTTCTTTAAAAAAATTAATTAATATACTGATGGTATAAATATTTTTACTGTTATCTGATTATAAATTGATATATATATATATATGATAAGATTTTTTATTTTTTATTTTTCTACCAATAACTGTAAAATTAATGTTTGATTAATTAGCCATATAAAAATCATCATACACCAATAGTGTTTGGGAAAAAAATTCCATAAAAAATAACTAACTGATGAGTGATAATATAAGAAAATCATGCTATTTGAGACCTTGAGAAAAAGTACGAACTGAAAAATAAGATATATAGGTTTTACATATGTCATGTTATAAAAAAAATGATAGGTAAATAATAAAGTGTTGCTCATGTTGAGGTCTCAGATAATTACCCTATCATATATTCGACTCCTAACTTCAACATATACAATTATACTTTCAAATCTAACAAACAAAATGTGCATTTCAAATGTAATTATCTGCTTATTATCATTGTTATATATACTTTAGAAAGTGTTCCACACGTAAGTCTGCTGAAATTGTAAAAGTAATTACGTCTGAAATATTAAGAATTTTGATGGGTTAAAGAGAAAAGAAATATATAAGTTATCTTTAACTTCAATTTTTAAATGATGTGAGAGTTTTACGCGTTTTGAATAGAAACTATTATTGTCCCTTATCAGTATAGTTAAAAATTCCAACATCATTCTTGCTAGCTATATATCATAATCCATGTTGCCATTCTAACCATCACTGTCATTGCGACATGTGAATACAGCAGTTGCGCTGCCATCGGTGTCCTCTAGCCACAACTGTTGCAAGCATCTTTCAATTATCATCGTTGTACTAGATAGCTAGCCTACACAATCCCCACATAGCAGATATATATTCATAATTTATAATATTAATTGTTCCTTTCTAGGATACACGCCTCACTTGTCCTTGTTGTAGTAGGTCTGGTCTTGGGTTTAGGTCTTCTCGTTCTTTTCCGAGTAGTCCAAAGTGAGGAGGAATGCCTGCAAAGACACTCCAACGCTCAAGTAAGTGCTCGGCGTAATAAATGCGGTAGTTGAAAGTTAATTACATACCTTATTGGGGGTCTATTTATAGTGATTGTTATTGGGCCGCGATTAAGGAATGGACCCCAGAAAATCAGGGCCTAAACCAGTGTATTAAGTAAACTAACCTGTCCTTAATTGTCCTAACACATCCTCGTAACTTGGCTGACCACACCGACCTGTTCGGCTCGGGTAAGATGTGGTCGGTGCTCTCGGCTGGGTGATCAGTCGGGTCGGGTATTCGAGTATTCGGCCTAGTCAGGTACCATCCGGTATATTAATAAAATAATATCTTCATTCGTTGTTCATATTCTTTTTCAACGTTTTTACTTTCTTTACAAATTTTTTCTTCATAGCGAAGGCATGAAGTGTTTCTTTTTTACTGGTGTGTAGATAGATATGTGGGTGTCTTTAACAACCAAGATAGAAACAAAATCTCATCATATGATTAGAAAAATAGAAGAAATATGAATTTTATAATATATATATATATATATATATTCATATGGTATGAAATTTGGATAAACAAATCTATGAAAATTTAAATTTAAATTAGACTATATCATATAAATGTAAAAATATAATGTATAAATATATTCAATGGACAATGAGATAACAAAATATAAAGCAACTCATTACGTACACACCATTGACATGCATACTTATACACACTAATGTCCCAATTGGTAACATTATATTCCTTTTGAAAGACAGCAGAAAAGTATATTGTTTAAGAAGAAAGTTTTACCCGATGTACATGTTGAATTTTGTTATCGTATGAATATACTTTGAGTAAATAGTCAAATTAGTCTCAAATTTTATACTACTCTCAATTTAGTCTCTAATTCCAATGAAACTAAAAAGAAGTCCTCAAAAATATAATCTATCACTAATCTAATCCTTTCGATTAAACAAGCTTTGGTTTTTATTTTTTTTTAAATTGAAGTATCTACGTGGCACAATAGTGTCATGTGGTATGAAGTGACACATAAGTGTGACACTTCATGTATATGTACCTTGTGGTGTAACACTATTATTTTAATATTTGAAACTGTAATTTAATTTAATGTCAATTTAGTCTCAAACGTTATGATAATTTTATTTTAGTTAAGTAAATTATGACCTGAATATTTATACAATAAAACAGATAATTAAGTTAATATTGTAAATATAATAATAAATGTATTCAACCTTCAATTGTCAAATTTTTATTCTTTTCTATTCATTTAATTTTATAATACATATATAAAAAATTTCTCATATATATATATATATATATATATATATATATTATTAAAATAAAAAATAGAATATCAAAGACATACAAATATAATTTTTTGGGAAATAAAAGTAATAGATATTTTTTATAATAGAAAAATAAGAAATATATTATATAAGAGAATTACTTATGAAAATAAAATATACAAATAGAGAAATTAGAAACATTTTTTATTTATGCATTTTAGAAAGTAAAATGGGTAAAAGAGGGGAAAAATTGACAATTAGAAGAAGAGATATAGCATATTCAAAATAAAATAAAAAAAATTAGTATTTTAGACTATGTAATACACATGTTAAGTATTTATTATATATAATTAAAATTTAAAATAAATTATGTATATAAATAGATATTATGTTTAAATATATAAATTATATATAAAATTTGAAAAATAGTTATTTTTAAATATAAATAAAACTTTAGATTTATGATAAATAATTTATATTATAGAACAAGCTTATTTTTTATTTAATGATAATTTATTTTAAAATATTAATGTTGAATTCATAAATATTTATGATAAATGAAAATTAAATTAAATATAAAATTAAAAGAATCTTTAAAAACTCCTTTAACAAAGAAAAACCTCTAAAAGTATTCTTGCATAAATTTTTTCTGAGATATAATTAAGGCTCACAGTCATAATTTTCACAGATAAAACTTAAGTTATGAAATAATAATAATTTTTTCTTAAATTTTTTTTTTCTATTGAAAAGTAAAGACAGATAAATTTTTGAACATGTGTTAGAATTGTTAATGAAAAAATGTTTATTTGTAGTGCCTATATTAGTAAAAGTAACATGATTTTAATTAGTGTATTTCATAAAGAATCATATTCGTAAGTAGTGTTTATTCTATGAATAGTTAGATCATAGAATTAATTGATGTCTATTTGTGTAAAAGCATATTACTTTATTTAATCATGTTTGTAAAAGACTATATCACCATCAGAATGCTTGAATGTGAATGAAACCAAGTCTTCAATTTGAATAAAATAAGACATCTCTTCATATTTGGAAATCTCTCATATTTTGATTCGATTTAGAAGTGTAATCTAGCTATATCTTGATTCTTCTATCATACAAAACGTATTATATATATTAAATCTTAATTCAATGTACCAAAAAGTTAACTCAATTCTCTTAATTAAATTCGACTCTTGCCACTAATTCTTTAGTGGTAAGGTCATTTATATAATATGATCGCAAGCCATTGTTGAAATTTGTAATTATGCCATAACTCTAGAATTTAAGCTTAATTATTCTAAGCATCTAACCTGGGCACCAATCAAGTATTATAGAAGAATAAGGAGACTTAAGTTATATAAAAACAAAATGGTAGGACAGGCTCCAAAAGAAACAAAAGAAAATGAAGTAAAAAAGCAAAATAAAACTAGAGTAAAAAAGAAAAAAAAATCTTAGCAATAAAATGCGAACATGTGGAATCCATAAGCAGGAAAAATAATATCCTAATAGCAAGTTCACTAATTGACTCGACAGAAATAGTAATCCAACTTATTAAGGAGAAGAAAACAAAAAGAGAGACAAACACTATAAGTCATCATCATTATGTTTTCCCCTCAATGAAACATAGATGCTGCTACCTAGTCTATTCCCATAAGTGAACGTTTCCCACATAGAACAAAGGAGGTTTAATTTCTTTCCAATTCCAGGACCTCATGACCAAAAATAATTTCAACAAAGGGAAGTAATTACCAATGCATGCTTAATTTCCAATCCAATGAAGTGACAAATTCACAGAAGGATTGAGGATGAGATGCTCAACTATCTATGACTTTAAGAAGCTGTGAAATATCTCATTGGATAAAAAAATACAAGTTGCAATGAAAAAGAATAGAAGGCAGAAGAATACAAGTACTAGAGGAACTAAGTGGCATCCAAATAGAACAAAAGAAGGTATAGTATAGACAAGAGAGGCACTAAAAACTTGTCCAATAGCTTTGTACTAAAGATTCTAAATAACATCAGCAACTAACAGCAGTGGTGGTTGTGCAGCATTGCATCAGAATGTAATTAGTAGCAGTCTTTCATTGTTTCCATTTTGTTGTTCTTCCAATCGCTTGGCCTACAAAGAAGAGGTCCCTTGTCCCTACATGGCCAATCAATAGAAGAAATGAATGAACCTTCACGTGTCACATGGAACAACAAATACCCCACCAAATGTCATATCTCCCTCTTGAATGTATTAATACAACCCCGCATGTCCTTCTCATTCAATTTAATGGCAGGGATACTCGATGTTTACACTCCGACAGTAATGGATTCACCACCACCACGACCACCGCCATCCCAACATAGTGAGGTATAGAGCAATGGCAAAACAAAACAAAGGACTTTTGTTTTATTTATTTTTTTCCTAAAATAGAGCATACTCGAATTGGTTAATGATCATAAAATTTGAAACATGTCTGTCCTTGATGGAAAGATGGGGTTGTGGTTGTGGTAGGAACTGTTTGGAAAAGTGGCAAGATTTGTGAGATCTCTCTTTGTTGTCACTTTTCCTCTTCAACTTGGCATAAGCATGATGGCTTCGGTTTCTCTTTTAAACAAACTAGCCCCAAAAGGGAGAACCAAAAGGAATCCTCCCAAGTAACCAGTCTTCATACGGATTCTCATAACTGAAAGGTTGACTCAGCCACCTTACAAACTTCTATAAATTCTCCCCCAACTCTCTCCTCCTTCTTCACTTCATCACTTCCCCTTTCACAAACAAACAAAGTTAAGCTTCTCCACCCTTTAACCACCAACACAAAAATGAGACATCCATCATTTTCATTTAGCCTCCTTAGAGAACACAACATTCTCTTCATAAGGGGCTTCATGATTTTGTTCCTCAGTTGCATAACCCTTCGCCTTAACTTCTGTATCTCCAGCATCCCTTCTTCTCTTAAATCACTTCCCTTGGAGGGACACTTCAGTTTTGAGGAAGTTGACCTTAAGCATGCAGCCAGGGACTTTGGCAACAGGTACCAGTCTCATCCCATGGCAGTGCTTCATCCAAAGTCAGTTTCTGACATTGCAGACACCATAAAACATATCTGGAACTATGGTCCTGGTTCTCAGCTCACTGTTGCTGCTAGAGGCCATGGCCACTCACTCCAGGGCCAGGCACAGGCTCATGGAGGAGTTGTGATCAACATGGAATCACTCAGTGTCCCAGAAATGCAGGTGCATGCAGGAGAATCTCCTTATGTGGATGTCTCAGGCGGGGAATTGTGGATAAACATCCTGCATGAGACACTAAGGTATGGATTAACACCAAGATCATGGACAGACTACTTGCATCTCACTGTTGGTGGCACTTTATCCAACGCTGGTGTAAGTGGACAAGCATTTAGGCATGGTCCCCAGATAAGTAACGTTCAGAAGCTGGAGATTGTTACAGGTAGGTAAAAAAAATGTGACAAAACATGGCAGATAAGAACAAGGTCAAGGGTCTAAAGAAGAAAAAAAACCTGTAAACAGATAAACATATTCTACATACAACAGCTACCATTTTGTCTCTTGTGAACTAATAATTCACCTGAAACTGACATAATAACTTCCCATAAGCCTTATTTGACTTAGGTTCTGTTTGGATACAAACTCAGAAGCTTTTTTACAGAAAGTAAATAATTCTTTTCAGTAGAGAAACTCTTAAAAAAATTTCTAAGCTTGTATCCAAATTGTCTTGGACAAGGTAGGAAGTCTAAAATTGAAAATAAGTTTTTCAACAAAAGATATGCTTTGTCTTGGATGATTGAAGATGGTTTATAAAATGACTGCAGGAACCGGAGAGGTGGTGAACTGTTCTGAGGAGCAGAATGGTGAACTCTTTCACAGTGTACTTGGAGGGCTTGGTCAGTTTGGCATTATAACAAAAGCAAGAATATTCCTGGAACCAGCACCTGCCATGGTAATGCAAAAAGGAAAATACAAGAAACAAGGCCCTTTCAATTTTAATTAGAGGCTTGTCATCATTGGAGTGTTTCTATTTTTGAACAGGTAAAATGGATCAGGGTCCTGTATGCAGATTTCACAGCATTCACAAGAGACCAAGAACAACTAATATTTGCAGAAAAGGCTTTTGATTATGTTGAAGGGTTTGTGATAATAAACAGAACTGGTCTCTTAAATAACTGGAGATCATCCTTCAACCCACAAGACCCAGTTCAAGCTAGCAAGTTCAAATCAGATGGAAGAACTCTCTTCTGCCTAGAATTGGCCAAATACTACAATCTAGAAGAAACCCTTTTAGTGAATCAGGTGAGGGACCAACAACTCAACCTAAAGATTTAATTTTTTTTTTTTTTTTGGGAAAAATACATACTCAAATAAATAATAAACAAAATCTGCTTTAACTAATAGCTATTTTTCTCACTATGTTATGTTTCTTTTGTATGCAGGAAGTGGAGAAACACTTGTCCCACTTGAACTACATCCCATCAACACTTTTTCAAACAGAAGTCACATATGTAGATTTTCTAGACAGGGTGCATATCTCAGAGATCAAGTTGCGTTCAAAAGGGTTGTGGGATGTTCCACACCCATGGCTCAATCTCTTTATTCCCAAAACCAAAATACACAACTTCGCAGAGGTTGTCTTCGGCAACATCGTAACAGAAACAAGCAACGGCCCTGTCCTTATCTACCCCGTAAATAAATCAAAGTAATGGTACACAAAACTTGTTTTCTTCTTTCTTTTCTTCCCCACCACCAATCATCAAGACCACAATTTAAGATAGAGTTCATTTACATGCATTTGCACTCTAAAAGATTTTACATCATTAATCAGTTAAAAATTAACATTGTCATATGTAAAAAAGTTAACAAACTAAATATATAAAAGAGTTTATAATATAGTGTATAAAAATCCTTTATGGAATAATTGCATATATTATTTGTTCTATTTGCTAATGTTTTATTACTTTTTGATGCAGATGGGACAACAGAACTTCTGTTGTTATGCCAGAGGAAGATATTTTCTACTTAGTGGCGTTTCTTGCTTCTGCAGTCCCCTCTTCCAATGGTCCTGATGGCCTTGAACACATTTTGAGTCAGAACAAAAAAATTTTAGAGTATTGTGAAAGAGCCCATCTTGGGGTAAAGCAATATTTGCCCCACTACACTACACAGGAAGAATGGAGGGCACACTTTGGTTCCCAATGGGAGATTTTCCAGCAAAGAAAATCTGTTTATGACCCTTTGGCAATACTTGCCCCTGGCCAAGGAATATTTCAAAAATCAATAACCTTCTCATGACCTTAGCCATGTTTTTATTAATAGGCCCTTGTGGCATACATGTGTCAATATTGTCCTACATGTGCATACTGTGTGTAGCACCAAGACAGCAGAGTCAGTGGTCAACACAACAGAACAAAGGTTTCAAACTGAATTATTATAGGGTTTCCATATTATTAGTGCCAGAAACGAATGTATATATACCAATTTTGTACACGGTTGCTTATTTGTATTTTCTAATGTAGCCAATTTCAAGAACAAAAGTTAAGCTATGTGCCCCTGCTACATGAATATTAAAATTAAAACATCCATAACAAAATCCAATTCATCTGTATCATGGCTCCAAAATGTGGGACAGACACATGAAGCAGTTGCTCTGGCATCACCATGCAATAAGCATTGATATCTCGCACTATGTCTTTACACTATCCATTTTATTTTTTTATTTTTATATTAAGATATTTATATCAAGGAGTCTAATAACATAGTATGTTGTTGTAAACCTCTTTAATACGAAGTTTGATTTGCATAGATAAAAAATTTATTATATAAAAAAATTATTTTATTTGTATTTTAAGAGTTTAATTTTCTTGTATTATTCTTTAAAAAAAATGGGTCTATATTGATGCCTTCATTTTAAGTTTTAGTTATCTTATTAAAAAACTTGTAATTTTTTGTCCTTATTCAGTTTTTCGGTAACAGTTTATCTCCACGAAAAAGTTTTTGTAATGCTTTTACACCCTTAAGAATATTTTTTAAGTACCTGTCTCGCCGTCCAAAACTTAACTTTTGTGTACTAATGTATTGATATGTGCATCGTTTGTAAATGTTTTAGTTGTAATTATATTATTTTTTATAATATTTTTATTTTTTTATAACAGAATTATTGATAAAAAAAAAAAAAGTATTCATCGGTTTCAAAACATGTTTTTCCCATTTATAAGACTTGAAGAATGTTTATAAATAAATATTCTTTATTTGAAAATCTTTGACATTAAATTGTTAAAAAAATTTAAAAAATCTCAAATTTACAGAAAATTAAAGTTAAGTTTCAATTTCAATCAGGTTAAAAAAATATAATCTATAGGATTAAGAAAAGAATGATTGATTTTTCTAAATTTAGTTAGAAAAACAAAAATATTAACAATTATATAATTTTATTTAAGGAGAATGTAATGGATTGAGATAGAAGACATTTTTAGTAAAAAAAATCTTGTGAATTTTTAAAAAGACTTTTAAGAATTTAATGACTTTTTTTTAAAGACACGTAATGACTTTTAAGATTTCTTAAAAGACTTTTTTCATTAAGATTTTTTCATATGAATTTTATTGGATTTGTATCTTAAAAGTTTATAAGATTTAAAAGAATTTTATTAGATTTCAAATGATAATTTGGATTTTTAATAAAAACATTACAATTAATAAAAAAAATATAAAAAGACAATATTTGAATATAAAAAATTAATAAATTTTTCAATCTTTTAATAAATAAATAATTTTTGTTTCATCTCATTTTAAGTAAAATTTATGAAACTCTTTATCCCGCATGCCATAACATATAAATAACATAAAACTGAATAATTTTGAAATAATAAATATACATGTAGAGAGGATCACATTGTTAATATAAACTAGACTTAACAAAATTAATAGAAGTACAAATGAATTAAAATCAAATTACTCAAATTGAATAACATGAATTAAATCTTAACCAGTCCTACTAAGCCTTGATGTCACGTGTCCTATCAAAGCACAACCTATCATTGAGGGTTAGGCCTCATCACCAATATCATTAGCACCATGTTGGTGATCACCTGCAGAAAACACAAGAACAACAACACAAGAGAAAGGAAGTGAGAAATACCTCACTCTGGATCGTAATGGAAGAATGCAAACCGGATAACCAAACACAAACATGCATACTACAAGATATAACATACACAGCTAAGCATTATAACCATGGTCATTCAGTCATACCATAATAAACAATAATAGTTACATTATGATGCATTATGTAATGGACACATATTACATATTATCATGCACGTGGCATCGGTAAAAACATCACACTTGTGCATTGCTGCTAGCAATACACTAGAGTAGTTTAGGAGTACATGCCAAGTCACACCCTCTACGCACTCTCACTAGGAGGACATACTACTAAGGTCTGGTCAGGATAACTAAGTCGTGCAAGATACATCCTATGCTCACGAGGGTAGGATTAAGACTTCTAAACTGAGTTATTCCCAAAGTTAGTTCCCAAGTTCTTACATAGGGGACCTTTCTTGACAGTTTATTCCATATCGCACCCCAAAAAACACTTTTATGCATATGATGCATGTCAAACAGACTATATGCATTGCATTCACATGTTCCATAGTTTCACATCTCACATGTTCCTCATATCATATTACTTGTCATTCATGGTCATATATTCATATATAAATATCAATTCACATCCACATCAACATCACAATATAGAATTACAACATGGAATTTAATAGAAGAACAATAGGAAATTTGCAAGTAGGACGACGCCTAGTGGCACATGCCTCACTCCTGGAATGATACTTTAAGAGGACCACATTGGTGTCTGCGTGCCTGGTGTGATCGAGCTCATGCCCCACGAGAATACCATCGAGAGCTCTTTAAAGAAAAAAGTGTCATAGGAAACCCCTATAGCTCCCACACCTAGTGAGGGTCATCCCACGTATGATGTGAGAGATCCCAAGAGCAAACTTTTCTCTCAACCTTGATGACGCCCAGCATGTCCCAAGTGGTGCCTGACGACATATCAAAAATAATACGCATAGTAAAAAACATAGAATTATGAGTCACACTTCAAATAACCAAAACACATAATTCAATTGGTAAACATGTTCTATAGCATACAAATAACATTCCATTATCGGAACCCAAAAAAATTCTGATCTTGCTCACAAATAGTTTTAACTTCCATTTTGAAATCTCATCGGTTATGAAATGCTCAAAAACTAGACTAATCCTTCACCAGTGGTTTTAAAAAGGTTCTTAAGAGTCACTGTAGACACCTAATTTCGTCTGGCGCACATAAACAAGGAAATGGACTTTTAACATAAGAAGAAAGAGTTTTCGAAGGCCTAAAAACAACATCAGAGCAAGCTAACATGACACTAAAGGCCCAAAACATAGAGGGCCAAAATTAGGAGTCTGAAACGGGCCGTTCCAAGCTTTGAAAAAAAACCTACAACCCTAGGTCAGAACTTCCCATTCTAACCTAGTTTGTTACATGTAAAATTTAAATCCGGAATGGGTCGTTTCCACTTTGAAAACGGGCCATTCCAATTTTAAATTTTGTGTGTAACAAAAAGGCCCAAAACGACCTATTCTGAATTCATAACAATCCGTTCTGGTAGATTTTCGTGCCTATAAATAACAGGCTCGTATGCAGCACCAAGGGAGGAGGAACAAAGGAAAAAATTACTTACTGAAGTCTTGTATAAACTCAAAATTCTCTCTCTCCCTCCTTTTGTATTTCTAGAGAGTTGTGAGGCACATTGTAGTGTATAAAGCGGCCAAAAAGCGCCTCAAGTATTCCACATTTGAAGAACATTTTATAAAAGCTCGCTCAAGAGGTATTCCCACCAATCTTCTCCATTTTCTACTTCTTTTATTGTAAATATTTCTATAACTAAAAAGGGTAATCATGTAAACGTTTTAGGGTAAATTTGGTAATTTAAGTTTAAAGCATATAAATAACCATTAATAAAGGGAACCAAATATTTAAACTATTATTCTCTATCACGCTAGTTTCATCACAAGGGTACCAAATTTTAGGGCGTTGTAGGTTGCCTAACACCTTCCTTGCACGTAACCGACCTGAACCCAATTTTGGTTGTGAAAGCCGTTTTTGGTATTTTTTAAGAACCTCTTTTTCCTTTTTTTTGATGTTTTGAGCAACACATCAGTGGTGACTCCATGAAATTTTTTCAAAATCATTAATTAAGGATTAATTTGGACTCCGGGAATTCCTTAATTGGTGAGATTTTCAAATTTGAAGTCTTAACCATCTGTGGGTAAGATCAAATTTTTTTGGGTTTCAATAGATGGTGACTCCACTAGGGAAGCTTAAAAGGGGTCAAGCCCAAATAAATAATGAAATTAGCGAAATAAGAATAATAGTTCAAATATTGGTTCCCTTTACTTTGTTTGCTTTGTATGTATTTACTTTGTTGGCTTTATATTTGTATGTTTGAAATAAAAAATTGTACACAAACCCTTGCACACAACAATTCCCTCTATATCTTAGGGCATGAACGCGTAAACGTAGGGAGTGGTTGATAACTGGTTACTCTAGCTAGAAATATTGCATCAGACCTTAGAGTTTTCCAGGTAATGGCGACAGAAGTATTGAGTCCCTATAATAGAGGCACCTTAGGAGCCTTTAAAGACTAGTGAGGATAACTAGAACCTTCCTATACCAGCACTTTCTTTGACAGGGACCACAAATCATGGATTTGTTGCATTTGTGTGTTTTCAAATGGATAAGGATTATAGGCAAATAAAAACTAATACCATTTTGTATGCCCTGATCTAAGCATCATATAAGTTAGTTTATTTTTAAAATGGTATAAAAAAATATGCATCATAGCCCTTAGTCAAATAAAACATGATAATACTTAGGCAGAAAATCACATGTCATGCATTTCTTTTAGGATAGTAATTAATAAACATTCATTTAAAGATATGGAAGGCATAGACAATAGCATGCATGGACCGTTGAAGAAGGTGAACATTCTGAATTATGCAATGTCAAGAGTCAACAGCTTATGCGCTCTAATGCCAAGAGAAGTCAAGGCAGACTTTGAAAAGCATTATGGAAGAATCCTTGACTTATTAAGGATATCTATTGACCTCACCTTCATGAGAGCCTTGGTGCACTTCTGGAAGCCTGAATTTTGCGATTTTCAATTCCCACACTTCGAAATAGTGCCTACTATAGAAGAGTACGACCTAATGGTTAGGTGGCCCAACTCAGAAGGGGTTTATACTATTCTAGAAGGATGTATCTCCTCAGATAAGGTAACTGAACTAATCAGGCTACCTCCCCCATCTATCCACTCTTAAGGGTAATAGGACAATCAAAGGATGAAAGTTCTTTACTCTAGAAGGACACCTTTCCCTTCTAGCCGATCAAAAGGACTAGATGATTTTCAAGAAGACTCTAGCTTTAATCTTGTTTAGGATAATCCTTTTCGTTTTTCATGAGAAGGTAATGATCACATCGCAATCGATGCCTTCTTTGCTTAGGATGCGCACCTAAAGAGCCTCATGTCTGCTATTCTTGTCGACACCTTGATTACTGTTGACTTTTGTAATCAAAAATCAAGGAAACAGATGAGATGTTATAGCCCACTCGTTTATGTGTGGGCGTATACAAACTTCTTTGCCAAAGACCATATGGGAAAGCTACCCGATCCATTAAGGAGCTTTCTTAGAATTCCCACACCAAGGAAGT